CACCAGGTAGCTCGCCACCAGGTAGCTCACCACCAGGGAGTTCGTCACCAAGTATCTCACCACCAGGCACTTCACCACTAGGTCAAATGACGAGGTACTTAGCCAAAAAAATTGATACATCACAAAAAATTGGTACGTGACCAGAAACGGTTACATCAGTTATCATTCATAAAGGAATGAAAAATGAAGAAAAACATGTGCAACATTTAAGGGAAGAATGTAAAAGTATTACCTATTCAGAGGACCTCTATATCTAGAACCAGGGAATAGATACAAGAACTAGAAACATCTGATTCCAGTCATTTATGATCAAACATTTTTGGAAGGAGAAATTAAAATAACTCCTAGTTCTGATAGTTGAACAAATATTAAAATATTTTTCCTCATGCTAACTATGATGAATACTGACAAGAACAAGGGATCAAGAAACCATAGCATTATCATCTTAACACTGTTGTTTGTTATATATAGTAGTAAAAGCAGTGGTGGCATTAATAGTACTGGTTGCAGTAGTAGAAAATTAAGCAATTGGATGATAGGAAGAGAGGATTAGAAGAAAGCAACAAAAAGAAGCTAACACCAGAAGTAATAGTAGTTGAAGCATCAATAGTACTGTACTAATAGTAACTGGGCTCCCAAGAATTTATGATTGAAAGTGAAGTCTCAGTTCATTGAGACTTGACAGGTAGGCACCGATTTCCCAATTTTCCTATGGAATAGATATGTTATTTTTGGACGTCTGAAAAATAAAGAAAATCTTCGAATTTAGCAGACTAACAGAGACTACTTATACTTAGTTAAACTCCTCAAATAAGTATTGCATAAAGAACAGGGGGAGAGGAAAAGATTATTCAACCGCCTTTATAGAAAGGAAGAAGATCAAAGTGGATTTCGACCCAACAACTCCGAAATAGTACAATTTTAATCCACAATAATAGTATGTCCTTTATAAGTTTAGGTGAATCTGAACCATACCAATTACAAAAGGCTGCATACAGGAATAGCCTAGAGCTTTACACGAAAATAGAGATCTTCCGGTACTTGGAAGATCGACACAAATTACTTAGCCAAACCTCTCAAATGTTTAGCCATCTCTCAAAGAGTCAAAAGGTTATAGAAAAACCAACAAGAAGCAGGAACCAGTTATTCGGGGAAAAAAAAGAACATAACATCTGGGTTGAGCTACACTTGTACGCAACGAAAGAGAACAACACAGGAAAAAAGCTTAGCCTTAACTACTGACACTTTAAGTTACTACAGATTTCTAATTGAAACAGTTTCAAGGAGCAATAACAATATAATCCACAATAAAATAAAATAATTCGAAAAGCCAGCACAGCGTTCAGCTTAGTACACCAAAAGGCTAAGAAGAAAAATCAGATCTTTGAGAAACAACGTACACGGAAGAAGCCCTAGTTTTCTTCATAATCCTTTTATTCTTGGGTGAAAGCATTGAAGCTAGTCAACTCCTTTTAATCGTCTCTCAGTGTAAGCTAGAGCGATGGGAAAAGAGGGGGACAGGTGAGAGAGCTGAGGGGGAGGGAATCTTCTATCTTCAGACATTCAATTCATTTTAAGTTGGAAATGTAAGAAATTTCGACACCAGTGAGCCCCCAGTCTATGTGTATCAAGCGGAGAGGTGGCTTTTAGTTTTAGGACCCAATTTTCTAGGAAAATGACATTAAAACCCCTAAATTCAATGATAATTATACTCTCACCACGACTTTCCCGAAAACACAAAATCACTCGACAGCTTTATGTTAATAAAATGCCTATTCTGCCCCCTCTCACTCCCACTATTGCCTTAGCCTTTGCTTAGAAAGAGTGCAAACCTTAAACCGTTCTAAATCAGGTTTCAACCTTTTTCTTGGGTCATTTATTAGAACACCCTATAGTTTTACGGATTTATTTAAACTTATCCTATAATTTTCAGTTTACTAAAACACTCCATATAGTTTGTAACCTATTTACTTAGGCGATGTTTGACATCAATGTTATTTTTTAAGAAAATGGTGCCACGTAGCACTACACCAGAAAAAGCAATGCTTCAGAAAACGGCCTCTTATTTGGTAACATTTTTCCAAAAAAAATGTTGCATCAAACCACACCTTATAAATCAGGAAATTGTGGTATGAAGAAAACATCAAAATAGATGTTTTTTCAAAAAACAGCCCATTGCTGAAAATAGTTCTATAGCATTGGTACCCAACAAAACAATGTTGTTTTTCCATAAAACAACCTATATGGCAGCACCGCTTCCAAACAAAAATAGTAATATTATCACCTAATATGAGTGGAAAATGTTCAAGGGCATGGGCCTATGATTGTTTATTCCATAAGTACCCTTTCTTCATAGACAAAACAAAATTGACTAAATAGAGCCATATATAGTGGTTGTTCATGTTTTACTAAGGCAAAATTGATATTTTTATTTTTATTCAAATGGACATTAAGGTCAAAACTATCATTTTCCACCGTCATCTAATGAAAGGTCAATTAAGAAAGTCAGTTGCAAACTATGGCGGTATTTCAATAAAACATAAATTATGGTATATTTTAGTAAATCCATGAAACTAAAAGGGTGTTTTAGTAAATGACCCTTATTTTTTCCTTATCTTTTGTTTAATTTTATTTAAAAATGACTTTAAAGTATTACTTGATTCTTTTACTATGGACGCCATACAACTTATTCTAATTTGTGCTCATGATCTGGAAGAATGTGTTGGAAAAGCATGAGAGAAAAAAAAAAAAAAAAATAAGATATTTGGCTGAAAGGAAGCCAAATGCTAATGAGTTTTTCATTGCTCATTTTAAAATTTGGGTGATGGCAAGAAATAGTTGGTTTACCTTCCTAGAGGGAGGAAAGGTTGTGGGGTGGAAGGAGATTTTTGAGTTGTTGCAAGATTTCCTTGGATGATTGGATCATGGTTTTGTGAAAAGGAAAATGAAGATGAAAGAAAGTAGGATCCTTATCAAGGATTCCTTACCACAAGGAATTATGATGGTAGCAAAAAGTAATTGATTTGGTATGGTCGACATCAATGTGGGGAGGGAAGATTGGGAGAAGAAATTGGTGGTTGAAGCCAGGGAAACTCTAGGTATTAGAGAAAAGAGGTTGATGCACTGTTTTAGAGCTTGAATCTTAACATCATGTATTTTTTTAATCCCGTTTGAGAAGAATAACGTAATGTTTGGACTCGATTGAGATGCTAGGGGTTGAGCCAAAAGTCATTTAGGTGGTATTTGAAAAATCTGTAAAGTTCAAAAGATACTAAAAGTGTTTGAAATCTGGAAAGAGACATCAATGTGGGGAGGGAAGATTGGGAGAAGAAGTTGGTGGTTGAAGCCAGGGAAACTCTAGGTATTAGAGAAAAATGGTTGATGCACTGGTTTAGAGCTTGAATCTTAACGACATGTTATTTTTTAATCCCATTTGAGAAGAATAGCGTAATGTTTGGACTCGATTGAGATGCTAGGGGTTGAGCCAAAAGTCATTTAGGTGGTATTTGATAAATTTGTAAAGTTCAAAAGATACTAAAAGTGTTTGAAATCTGAAAAGAGGTATTGATGCTTTTCTACTTTGTAGAGGCTCTCAATAGACAAGGTTGTTTGTGTTGGATCAAACCATTGACATTTGAAATTCCCTAATTTTATTATTTTACCCCTAAAACAAACTATTTGATAATTTTGAGTTCAATTTGCACTATTTCATAAAAAAATAAATTATTAAATTCAAAAATAATATTAAAAAACACGAATAAATTATAAAAAAAAAATTAAAATATTAAAATAAGAATAAAATTGAAAATACATATAAATTTATAAATTAAAAATAAATAATTAAAAGTTAAAATAATAATGAAAATAGTAATAAAGTCTATGAAGCAATGAAAAATATTTAATAATTAGCAAATTAATATCTTAAAACTATTAAAATATTTAATAATTAATAAAAAAATAAAAGAATTAATAATTAATACAAATAAAAACTATAAAAATAAAAAATAAGTGATGAAGGTAATTTGGCACGACCTAGTAAGAAGGGGACACGTAGACGCGATTTGCTCGAGGGGTGACAACTCAGCCAAACGAACCCGACCCGCAATATTATGAGCTCGGATGTTCAGCCACCTCGGCCCAAAAACCACCACAAACCCAATCCAGTTTGGGACTAAAGAACCGAAGTACCAATTCAGAGCTAAAGAGCCGAAACGCCACGTAATCTACTCGAAAGGCCTCCCCAACGGACCCCGAATTTATTGGATCACAACGAGACTCATCCTAACTCCGCCTGAATTGGAGGTAGACGATAAATCTTATCAACACATTGCTCCCCTTCAAAAACGAAACAGATCTTATCCGCACAGCCCGGAGATCCCTGAGTGCGTTTGTACGCCCAAAACTTGGAATAAAGGGGCGGATTTCAAAAAGGTGAAGGGACGAGAGATCCATCGTATGGACGCCCAAAACTTGCGGAATAAAGGGGCGGATTTCAAAAATTTTTCTCTCCCTTTCAACTGGGAATCACATTCCCTATTTAGAAAATCACATTTTCAAATATCAATCTTGAACCATAAACTGAACTACATCTGAACCAAAAGTAGTAGGAGAAGATTATACCTGATACGGAGAAATAATATCCCCCAACGAAAGTGTTCACGCCCAATGAAGGATCCAAAGACTACTCTCATTGAAAATGGCACGTGAGCATAGCTTCCTATCTATTCATTCTCAAAGAATTGATGTCAAGATCGAATCTTGACTTCTCCCACAACTAGAGATCGAACTGGCAAACTGGGCGGCAAGAACAAGAAAGCGGCAAGAAAGAATTCTGTGTTTTTCAGCACTCAAGAGAATGTGAGTATGTCTCCTCTAAAAACTGCCGCCCCCTTCCATATTTGTTTTAACCCCAAAAGATCAGCTCCTAATCCAATTAGGAGTTGCTGATCCAAATCTTATTTGGATCAAAACATCTCTTTAGGTGATAAGAATTAACCCCTATTTTATCTGCAGATTAGATTAGCTTTCTCCTAATCTCATTAGGAGGTTTCTAGATCTGAATGTGATTCAGATCTGGATAGGGCTAAGACCCTATCCAATCTGCTAATCCATCTCAGAATTCGCCCCATATTTAACTAATTAAATAGCCCAATTCGAAATGGGCTTTAGGCCCATTAAGCTTATGTGCTCACTTAACCTTCCCAACTGCTGCCCAGTTGGGCTTCCTTGTATGGCGTGGGACCCAAGCATTGATCTACACATCAGCCACATGGGTTCAGCCCAGCCTTTATTACAAGGTCTGGC